GCCCAACAATAAATCCACTGATTGCTTACCAAACCCCTCTGAAATGAAAGTTTCCAACTCCTTTGGATTCATCAGGCAAGCTTAGTTTTAAATACCAGTTTGTATGTATGTCGCCTTGCAACTTAAACTCTTGTGAACAATAAGTTGATTTTCAAATGACTGTTTGCCGCCATTCACACCCGGTAACTTTAGCTGCTGACAAGGCACATCCATTCTATCACCTACATAGTTTCCATCGCTCGAAATTTTATGCATTATCGATCACAAATGGACTAGAGTCAACAGAAGGAGCGGTCAAATATGTCATAGGGAGCTAACGTAACGGTGTTAGAAAATTCGTCATGTGGTCTGGATAACACTTGCCATTATCTAGGTGGTCGTGCGAAGGCTGAATGCAACAAAATTCCACGATAGAACGGTAGTCAGTGTTTCAACACGACTGTCAGAAAAGCTCCTGCTGGAAACTTCTGGGCCGACAATATCAACTTCATCCTTGCACCGCCTCACCTTAGTTTACGCAAATAGTCTTCCCTTTATCTTGTAGCTTCTTCGTCCACGGGGGCCTCCGCATCTGATGCCGTGGAAAACTGCATCTCCACAGCTTCTTCGTCCACGGGGGCCTCCGCATCTGATGCCGTGGAAAACTTGCATCTCCACCCTCCATTGCCATGTTAGTGGCTGTTCAAATGGCCAGGCGCTTCAGTCACTTTGTGAATGCTCGATTCATCAACGACACACAAAAATGATTCTATGAGGGTGGAGATTTCATCTAGTTAATACGGTGAGATAGAACAGGCCAACTAAAGAACCGGACCCTTGCTAACGGTCCAGCTCGAGCCAGGGAACAATGGTGTGGTGGTCCCGACAGAACATAGACACTAGAACACGTCACAGTGCTCAAAAATGGCGTACCGATTAGCTGCCAAATCTTTTTTTATGTGTGCGGGCACTGAAGGCTGCGGTTATAATGTTTGGCCCACGGATTCATTTAGGTAAAGAGTGAGGTGTAAAGCTTGCCCTTTGGTAGTTGCTCGTGTGACGTAAGCAAACTCATGAATGTTACAACAAACCACGAGAATCTCGGCAAATATACTTATTTGCAAATCAATTTGGTTTCGACGGGAACCCAGCCAAATCCGTAATTTATGATGTTCTTAAGCAGCTGAATGTGCAACACCGGGCCGCCTCATGTTTCATGTGCTGCGACATTCGATATATCGCGATAAATTGTACAGACGTAATACACTACTCGTAAGGTTGCTGATAGCTCTCCGGTAGACGACAACTGGTTTTGCCCTTCTTGCAGCTCAGTAGGTAGGCGCAGTCCCCGAGTTTCCATCAATCTGGGCTCAAGTAAAGCACAATACTGACAAAAACTCGGGGACTGTCTCCCTTGTTGGTCCCAAGAGGAGCAAAACTGGTCGTGGGCCGTCGAGGAGTTTTCAGCAGCCTTATGAGCAGTGCATTACGTCTGTTTTACAAGGAAGTTTGGTGAAATGACCATATAGAAGCCTAAGTNTCGAACAACAACTCAGCTGTCCGCCTCCGTGGGTCCCCGTGACCCCGTCTGTCTGGCTGGAGACGTTGCAAGAAATGGCGGCTAATCGATATCATTGGCGTTCGTGCTGTCAGTTTCTCTCCAGATTGTCTGATTGAGCGGTTGAAGGTGTAGGCACCTCAGAATGCTTGACATAGGTCAGCACTAGGTCTCCTTCCCCACCCACTCTTTTCCTCTTCTTTTTACTGTAGGTATATATATACATATATATGTATATATATGTATATGAAAATATTTTTCTGTTATTGTGGTGGCTTATTTCATGTGTCCTGTCTAACTGACAGTCAAACACAATGCTGATCAGCCGCACGTGGCCAAATGGTGAAGTGTTCAAACTATTAGCTGGGAGGTTGTGTGCTCGAGACCGCCTGGAATTCCGTTTGATGTGAGCTGCTAACGATTCGCAGTAAGGATGAAACTATTATACAGTGATACTTGGTTTCATTCGCGGAACGTAATCTCAAGTGTAAATTAACACATTTCTCCACAGTACCATCAGTTTAGTTCAGATAACTAGATTTTATTCCCGTTCGCCCTAGCCACTTTATTTCTGCAACACATACTTCACAGTTTAGCGCTCTCGACGTTCTGGTGTGTGATAGCGGTCCACAGTTTTCTGAACCGAACTGGGCCACTCTTGCTCCTGCATTATGGAACGCTATCCGAAGGCAAACGATAAGGCAAATCAGAAGTCGACGAAAGCGGCATTTTTGGAGTGCAATTACGGGCTGCACTTGATGCGCTGCCAAAGCATAAGATTACTGTCTGAAAAAGTGACAGATAGGACACCAGTTTGATCGCTACTCGGCTGACAAACATCTTGCGTTTGAGCCAGCTGACAAGATCCAAGATTCGACTTTCGTAGCACGAAACTCCGCTGGATGACGGCAGTTATCGGATACCTTAGAGGTCACACGTCACGTGAGATAGTTGTGTAAGGAGAAAGCCCTTCTCCATCAACTAGTTACAAACCATTAGGCAGAGAAATAAAAATCTCATGAGCACCTTGTTTTTGATAACTGAACAGCCTCACGCGTCTTCTTGAAATTTCGTGAATAATAATTGACTACGACGCGATAGTAAACGAACACTGCAAAGCAGTTCCACAAGTTTCGTAATAAAACTCCACCTTCCAGTAGACGCCAATCGGAGTTGCGAGAAACCACACACTACTCGCATGCCTCATCAGTAGTATCCGCTATTACACTAGTAAGTAAGATGCGGCATGTTAATCGTGTTGGATCGGACAAGACGGGCGAATTCCCCCCTGACAACAACATTTTGTTGCGATCGGATATTCTTCCAGAGTTCTATTTCCTTTGTAAACTGCTACACCCACTGTGGAAGCTTGCCCTGTTGAAAAACCTTCGCATTCACTTCGCTGCTAATAGCTATATCTGGACTCTTCCGTAGATGAAGGTTTTAATTAACAGAGGAGGTTGCCTTGACTGGAACATCACTGAAGCCTGACAAGTTGCAAGTACACTTATCAATCATTCATATTGCTCCATTCATTACCTCGCCATTGTTCGTACTGGTTTGTCAAGTCACCTAACTGATTGCTACTCACTTAGCAGATTGGTCTTCGGGAAGTTTGCAGTCCTCCCTAGGACGTGATGCACCAACCTGCGTTTTTTGTGTAACTCAGAATGTGATGGGTCTGTGGTCGTATGGTGCGCGAATTTGAGAAAGTCTGGCCCCCTATGCCATCGGATACCACGTATGCTGTTGTCTTAAGCCATAACAAGCATTTGTCTTTTTCTTCGGAGGTATTTTGTTTGAAAACAACAGTTTAAGTTGTGTGCAGGTTGTTGGACAGGGTGTATATGCTGCTGCTTAACTGTACTGTCCTGTCATTAGCATAACAACAGTTCCGTTAGTTGGCATGGTTTAGAAAATTTTCCCATTGTTTGCCTAACATTTAACGCGAACGTCGATATTTCTGTGGACTTGTATGTGTGTTTGTGAGAACTTTGATTTTATCAGTATTGGTCCCTAGTAAACCAACACTGCTTTTGAACAAGTCTACTTGTTTTCCTCACAGCTTTTATACAGACGACTTTTTGCTTCATGAGAGCTGGACACGCCTTTGTTGCCACGGCTAAATTCACACTCAGAACGGAATACTCAACAACCCACTGTCCATAAACTTGTCAATGGGTATTCACGTTTCCCAGACATCAACATCTGGACCAGTAGTTTCCGTTTAGTCTGATACTTTAACGGCAAAAATGGCTCTCCACTAACCTGTGTATTAGGCATTAAGTTTACCATCGAACACTTCCGGAAATGAGTTGCCTGGGGATCCGCCCTTTTCAAACGGATCTCTTTGATGAGCGACCTTGAATCAGTCTGGCGTGAGATCGCACGCATTCCTCACGAAAAAATCTGTTGTAAAGATTGTCTTTTAGATGGAATTTAAATAAATGGGCTCCTGGGGTAGCAAATCCAAGCACTAGTAACGCCGTACGGAGGACCAACACCGATAAAGGATGATAAGCAAGCATACTGTGGTTTAGCGGACAGATACGGGAACGGCATGACCACGGTGAACGCTGCTTCGCTTGGTAAACTGGATTACTTAGACTCGTTGGCAGTGCGCGAGCTAATGGCAGCTCGGCTGCGTTTATTGGTTCTTGTACTGTTCAGTGAGCCTCGTGGTTGGCTCGCAAACGTCTTGTTGCTGAAATAGAAGACCTAATCAGTGCGCGCAACCCCTTATCAACAGCCAGTCAGAAGGGAATGCCGTCTGTGGTTCTTGTCCTTACCTTTTATTTGCTTGTATGTGACCTTTGGTTCTGTTTGAATTACAGCGATGAATATAATGGCACTCCTATCCCAGCAGGGTCAAGTTCAAAAAGATTTGTTATAGCTGTCTGATCTAGCAGTTCCTTCGGTTCTGGTGTCACCATTTCATCAACTCTCCATCGATCCACTAAAGCCTTTCTGATTGGGTCGTCACAGAGGATGAAGACAAACTTGATCGGTTTGTATTGGCTAAGACTTGACGACAGTATGCGCCGTTTCAGTCGTCCCCAGCTGAATCTATTCACACGTGCCGTTTCGGGGCAAGTTTCAATCTTCGTTCGAGTGCGCTCATCCCGCACGAACTTATTCAACGATACCCCACCACCATCATTCCGACTACAACTTGACTGGACAGTCCATAGTGAAGAATACCGACGGGCGAAGCGAGCCCGAATGAACCAGCTAACTGGGACCTCCATCCAAACACGCATCCTACTTGAATCTGACTAGCTGGCCCAGTGATTCGAGTTTTTTCTGATGTGGTAGCTGAGGCTTCGATACACATTTACCTCAATGGATATACAGGGCTAGTATGGCTTGAAGGACGGTGGTGGAGCAAACATCTACCTTCATCATTTTCCAGAACCGTTTTACAAGCTTCAACCTAAACAGGGGTTAACATTGAACAACTTACCAGGAAAGAAGAGACATGATGTTGTTTAACCAATGGCTCCATTTGATCCAAAATCACATCGTTTAGTTCTAACAATGCGACCCGGTAGATTACGTTACACCAAAGTTTTGCAGCCTGTGTTCGGCTTTTCTGTTTACACAGAACATCGATTGGATACTCTCCCCGGGGACATATCACAGTGTCAACTGTGGGTTGGGACAAACAAGGGAAAAGAGAGAAAATTGTTTGCATTAGTTATTGATCTTGTGGACCTGGAGAAATTTAGGTTTTAAAGAACGGTTCTAGTCATAATTTAGCATTGAAACTCCTAGATGGGAGTGTCGGTTTTTGTCTCAAATTAACCGTACTCAGACAAGACATCGAAGTAATGGAATTCAGTGCTGAAATTTCCATCTGTTCTGTCACGCTCAAAAAACAGCCGTTGAAACTCTCGTTTATGAACTGGCTTATACCTGTTTGCTATGGGTTAACTAACAAAGTGCGTTTTTTCCAACGAATCAGCGTCACTTACCAATCGTTGTAGTCCCGCCCAGCACTGCTTCCTTTGTGGTGTTTGCGTAGTCCTCTTCACGGTAGTCAAACATGTCATTCTGGATGTAGGTTGCAATATCTACTCCTCCGGGCATGATGAGTAGACCGGACGCATCGATTGTGCCAGTACCCCTGGGTACGTCCAACTTATTCCCAACTGATCTGAGGTTTGAAGTTGTGGGCGGTGTAATTCGAAATCACGTTGGACAACTTACATTATTTTCCCATTTTCAATTAGAAGCTCCGCCTTTTGAATGCAGTCACTGTTGACAATTTCACCCCCGATAATATGTAAGTATTGTTTCTGTTGGGGAAGGGAGAGAGAGAAATTAAATCTCTTTAATAGCTCACCCGTTGGTTTTTTAAAATCAGTTTTCAGTTTGGAGAGTTTACTTGTTTGAGGAAGAGTAATATATTACAAATAAATTGCTGTTTAAGCTGTATCAGGGAGACTTCCAGGATGAGCTATATACTTTCTGAGCTTTTAAAAATAGAGGACAGTCGCATGCGTCGTACATCGTGCTTCTCCAAAACTCCATATGGATTCAGTGTGAAGCAAATAAGATTATCTCCCGAAGCGTCTCCGATAGTTGACGGAACCGAATATATAT